GAAATAATTGTCCCATACTAGAAGATATTTATACCTACAAAAAAGCAGAAGGTGTCATTCTGTACTTCCTTGCACAATCATAAGGCTTCAGTAAAATCTGTCATAAAACGTGGAGGAACAGGTGAAACTAAGCTCCTTTTTGACACATTGTAACCACTAATGTAAGTCCTCCTACTCCAGCTGCCCATCTGCCACATGGCAGCAATAAGAGAAAGTACTGCTGCCCAGCTGCATAATTGGCTGCAACAACTTTTGAGTTAAGGGTAGAAGTTAGAAAACTGGCTGGACACTAACGCCTCTAACATACTCCAGTTACAAACAATGAGGAATGTTAATGACAAATTCACATGAAACTAGCACTTGGAAGACAACTGCTCAAAAGTTTAGTCATTTGTCTAGAAAGCTTGATATTCATTCCCTGATATCGTCAGGTTAGCACACACAGCTATTTGAAAACTACTAAACTAATATAAATTGCTTTATTTTAGTACCTTGACTACACAGGAATCAAGCTACATTAAGATAATATACATTAAGTCTCTCTGGACAAAAGACTTCTCAATAAATTTTTAAAAATGATGTCTTGAATCAAAGGCTATGTAGGAACATGTACCTCCTCCTCACCCATATTAAACACAGACATCAAACTGCAGACAATCTGAGTTTAATTTAAATGGACAGCTGCGGCTTTCATCTCCACAGATTTAAGCTTCTAAAGATCATACGTTTTTACTAAGGAAATTTTATCCTGATCGTGCTGAGACACGCCACTCACATCCCTCTACCTCTGTATTAAAGAGAAGTAGGTACAGCAGGCCTCCATGGAACACAACAGACTGATCTGCCACTCCTCTAAAAAGGCTTGGATGAAGAGCCATGAGACTGAGCTGTAGTGATATTCTACACAAAAATCCCCCCAAAACCCCAAATTTCAAATAACAAAGTGCTACAATAGCCCTCCACCTAAACATAATATTTAGCTTATTTATAAGATCTGCCTCCTTGCAACATCATTAAATCTTCCAGCAGAGGCAACATGCAACCTTTTCTCAAAGGAAGCCTCTTCCCCCTTTGCCTCCTCCACACCCATCTCAACTTATATGGAGAACCCCAGTAATAATTTCCAGTTATAAAACAAATTTTAAAAGTCAAGTTCAGGCATTCAAAATATTTCACAGGCCAATTTTAAAACTGAATGACAGCATCACCAGCATATTCTTAAGCTTTGCCTAATGACTCCAGAAGGCCCAGACTGACCAGAGAGTGGCAGGAGCTGTAACCTGAATGCATGCTCTCAACCTGACAAACATCAAAAGCCTCTATGGTCAATACACACATGCTGGTAACATGCACACAATCATCGATATAATATAGCAGTTCTCTGCTTAACTAGTAACCCATACAAAGAATATACAAAAATCACAAAACCAGTTAATTAGTACATTAGCCCTGATTTAAGGCTGCCTAAATCTCCAGGGGAAAAAAAATCAACACAGAAATGAAAGCTCCTTGAAGCTTTGTCAGCAAGAGTTCTATTGAACAGTTTGTATTCTAAAATACTGTGCATACACTTCCTCAGGTATAAAAAATTAATAATAAACTTTTGCCTGAAAACTGACATTGTAAGTACAATGTTTACTAGCACATGACTATATTCAACATACTTTTTTATACTCAGTATATAAGTAATCACACAGCTACATATCTTCAGACGTTGTAATAAAATGAAAAGATCTCCTGAATATGTTACACTACAATTACATGAGTATAACAAGTACAAAACTTCCAACTCTGTCCTAAAAGGCAAAAAAACCCCAGCCATGAGCATCTTGAAGATTTGTGACAAGAGAACCTAACCCTCTATAATCTTGTTAGGAAAACTATACCCGAGCTCGCTTACTGTAAGGTCTCCTCACTTCAAATTCTACATGCCTTCTAAAATAGCTCATACAAGAATATATGCTACAAGTCTGATGTAATTATTATAACAAACCCAAACAGAAAGCGCTGGGAGGCTCAGCTACTACATACCGCTTCTAGAGAACTGACTCTAGAGGCCCCTGCAGCAGCACAGCTTCCTCTGAGGACAGTCAAGCCAAGCACTCAGGGCTGCTCCCCATCCCAGTTTCCAGGACCCCTTGCGCTAGGGCTGGTGTGCAGTCCCGAAGGCTGGGTGGGAAGACGGCTCCTACCTTGCCACCGATGCGCACTTGGGCCTGCAGCTTGGCGAGCTTTTCTTGGTTCATGATTGTTTCTTTCATCTGCAAAAGCAACAAGGGCTTCCATGGAGGGCGGGTCCGGCAGCAGCCGGCGGCGGGTCCGG